GTTTTATGACTTGTAGAGGACGAAATAATAGGTCTCCCGTTGTCAAATCCAACAATGGAACATCATCTTCAAATTTTAAAATAGTAAATTTTATTTAAATTTTTATAGAACAATTTTTCGATTTCTCCATTTTTTAAATTTTTGGCTTCTCAATTTTTTAGTTTTTCGTTTTTTCAACTTTTGATTTCCCAATTTTTCGATTATGTACTCAGTTTTTCGATGTATTTCTCGATTTTTCAAATATTTTTTATATTTCAATATCTCAATTTTCTGATTTGCCAATTTTTTTAGTTTTTGGCGTTTCTAAATTTTCGATTTTTCGACGTTTCCATTTTTTCTATTTTTCAGTTTTTCAATTTTTCATTGTGTATCGATTTTCAGTTTTTGAATTTTTCCATTATTTATTTCAATTACTCAATTTTCCGATATTTCAGTTTGGGATTTTTCAGTTTCTCGATTTTCAATTTTTCGATATTTTTGTTTTGGGATTTTCCAATTTTTCAATTTCTCGGTTTTTCAAATTTTTGATTTCTCGATTTTTTATATTTTAAATCCTCATTTTTCCGGTATTTCTTTTTTACGATTTTTTTGGTATTTTTTGATGTTTCGATTTCTCGATTTTTCAATTTTTCGATATTATAATTTTTCAATTATAAATATTTTAGGTTTTTCAATCTTTGAGATTTCTAAGTTTTCGATTTTTCGATTTCTCAATTTCTCGATTAATGGAATTTTTGGTCTTTCGACTTTCCGATTTGTTAAGTTTCGGGATTTTTCAATTTTTCGTTTCTTCAGCTTACCTTCGATTTTTCAATTTTTCACCATTTCAGTTTTGGAATTTTTCAATAATTCGGTTATTAGATTTTTCGACTTTTCGATTTTTCAGCTGTTCAGTTTTCCGATTTTTCGACCTTTCAGTTTTTCAATTTTATTTTCGATTTTCCAGTTTTTCAATTTTTCAGTTTAACGATATTTCAATTTTTCGATTTTCCAATTTTTTTAATTTTTCAATTTTCCAACTTTTTAATTTTTGGCGTTTCTAAATTTTCGATTTCTCGATTAATCGATTTTAAAATTTTTTGATTTTCTCATTTTTCAATTTTTCGACTTTTCGATGTTTCGATTATCGATTTTCCAATTTTTCAGGTTCCCGATTTTCAATTCCTCAATTGTCCAATTTTCTGTTCTTCAATTTCAATTAATCGGTTTTTAGACTTTTCGTTTTCTCGATTTTTCAACTACATATTCGATTTTTCGATTTCTCGACTTTTGATGATCCGATTTCCCTATTTTTCGGTTTTTCAGTTTTTCAATTCACAAATTTTTATATTTACATAATTTTATTTTTTTATGTTGCAATTTCACAATTTTCCGGTATTTCAGTTTTCCAATTTCTCATTTCCCGATTTTTAGACTTTTCGATGTTGCCATTTTCCAATTTTTCGATTTTTCTATTTATTAATTTATCAATTTTTTCAGGTTTTTTAATTTTTCAGTTTCCCGATTTTCAATTTTTCGATTCTCAATTTTTCAAATTTTCGATTTCTCGATTTTTTTATATTTCAATTTCTCAATTTTCGGATATATTACTTCTAAGATTTTTCAGTAGTTCAATTTTCTATTCTCCAATTTCTACGAATCAGTTTTTCGATTTGTCAACTTTTCGATTTTTAGACTTTTTGATTTCCAGATTTTTAGACTTTTCGATTTCTCGACATTTTGATGATTCGATTTCCCGATTTCTCTATTTTCATTCCTTCAGTTTTTCGATTTTTTATTTGCAATTTCTCAATTTTCCGAAATTTCAAGTTTCCAATTTTTTTATTTTTGGCGTTTCTGTTTTCTTTTTTTATATTTTCCCATTTCTCGACTTCTCGACTTTTCGATGGTCTCGTTTTTCGACTTCCCGATTTTTGAATTTTTCGATTATCGATTTTTCAGTTTTTAGATTTTTTAAATTTTAGATGTTAAACTTTTTTGAAAAACGGTTTTGAAAATTTTCAATTTCTCCATTTTACGGTTTTTCGATTTTTGAAATTTTATATTTTTCGATTTCTCGTTTTTCAAGTTTTTGGATTTCTCAATTCTTCAATTTTTAAAATTTTTATTTTTCAAATGTTTGAGCTTTCAATGTTCAATTGCCTAATTTTTCAATTTTTCTATGACTCGATTTTTCGGCTTTTCGATTTTTCGATTTTCACATTTTTCGTTGTATCGATATTTCAATTTTTCGATTTTCCAACCCTTTGACATTTCGGTTTTGATCGATTTTTTTAAATTCCAGATTTTTGAAATTCTTTTTCAATTTTTAGCTTTTTGATTTTTTCCATTTTAAATTATTAAATTTTTCATATTTTGATGCTTTGATTTCCCTATTTTTCCATTTTTCGATATTTTAAAATAACATTTTCTCGGTTTTTCAATTTTTGGATGTTTTCAGTTTTTATCATATTCAAGATTTTTCAATTTTTCGATATTTTAATTTATCATTTTCTCGATTTTTCAATTTTTCAGTTCTTTGATTTTTCTATTTTTCTATTTTTCGAATTTTTACATTTTAGATTTTTCAATTTATATTTCAATTTTTCGATTTTAGGTTTCAACTTCTCGGTTTTAGATTTTTCGGTTTTTCAATTTTTCTATTGTTTTTAGAATCTTTGATATTTCAATTTTTCAAATTTTTTCGGTCTTAAAATTGTTCCAATTTTCAGGTTTTCGAGCTTTCAGTGTTTAATTTCCCGGTTTTTCAATTTTTCAATGTCTCGCTTTTTTGATTTCTCGGTTTTTCGATTTTTTGGTTTTCTAATTTTTCAATGTATTGATTTTTCAATTTCCCAATTTTTCGACATTTCGGTTTTGGGAATTTTTATTTCTCCATTTTACAGTTTTCGATTTTTGAAATTTTACATTTTTCGATTTTTCGTTTTTTAAGATTTTGGATTTCTCAATTTTTTGATTTTTTAAACTTTAGATCTTGCGATTTTTAAATTTTTCTATTTTTTGATGCTTCCATTTCCAGATTTTTCCATTTTTCAATATTTTAATATTTCAGTTCTTTTTTATGTTTCAATGTTTCGATTTTTCGATTTTTCGACCTCTCGGTTTTAGATTTTTCGGTTTCTGAATTTTTCTATTTTTCACTTTTTCGAGCTTTCAGTTATTCAGTTTCCCGATTTTTCCATTTTTTGTGTTGTTATCACTTTTCGATTTTTCGATTTCCCAATTTTTGGACTTTCGATTTTGGGATTTTTCAATTTCTCGATTTCACAATTTCTCGATTTTTTTAAATTGCAGATTTTTCGGTTTACCGGGTTCTCGTTTATTTGTTTTTCGGTTTTTCGATTTTTCAATTTTTCGATTATTTTAACTTTTGGCGTTTCTAAATTTTCGATTTCTCGATTTTCGATTTTTTCCCAGTTTTTCGATTTATTAATTTATCAATTTTTCAATTCATTCTTTCAAATTTGTGATTTCCCGATTTTTTTTATTTCAGTTTTTCAATTTTCCGATACATCTTTTCAATAGTTTAATTTTCTATTCTCTAGTTTCGATTTTTCGACCTTTCGAATTTTCGATTTTTAGACTTTTCGACTTCTCGATTTCTCAACTGTTCGATTTTTCGATTTCTCGAGCTTTTGATGATTCGATTTCCCAATTTCTCTCTTTCGTTTTTCAGATTTTCGATTTTTTAAATTTTTCGATTTTTTTATATTGGAATTTCTCAATTTTCCAGTATTTCAGTTTTCCAATTTTTTAATTTTTGGCGTTTATGTTTTTGCAATTTTTCGATTTTTTCATTTTCCCATTTCTTGATTTCTCATTTTTTGATCTTTCGATTTTTTCAATTTTCTTCGATTTTCAATTTTTTAATGCATCGATTTTTCAGTTTTTAGATTTTTTAAATTTTAGATTTTGAATTTTCTAATTTTGATTTCTCGATTCTTCAATTTTTCGATATTTTAATATTTCATTTCCTCGATTTTACAATTTTTCAATTTCTTCGTTTTTTCTATTTTTAGTATTTCGAATTTTTATGTTTTAGAATTATCAATTTTTGCTTTTTAATATTTTAAATCTTTATTTTTCAGTTTTTCGAGCTTTCAACGTTCAATTTCCCGATTTTCAAAGTTTTCTGTGTCGATTTTTCGGCTTTTCGATTTGTCGCTTTTCTGTTTTTTGATGTGTCGATATTTCAGTTTTTGATTTCTCAATTTTTCGACATTTCGGTTTTGGGATTTTTCAGTTTCTGCATTTTACAATTTTTCGATTGTTTTAAATTTCAGATTTTTCAATCTTGTAGTTCTTCTATTTTTCTGTTTTTCAATTTCTCGATCTTTTAATTTTTTGACTTTTCCATTTTTTAAATTTTGCCATTTCCAGTTTTTCCATGTCTCGATTTTTCAGTTTCTCGGGTTTTCGATTTTTCGACACTTTCGATTTTCCGATTTTTCGATTTTTTATTTTTTCAATACATATTTCAGTTTTTTTGACTTTTCGATTTTTTGATTTCTCATTTTTCAAAGTTTCCAGTTTCTCAATTTTTCAACATTTCAATTTTGGTAATGTTTCAATTGCTGCATTTTTCAATATTTCAAAATTTTAAATTGTAGATTTTTCGTTTCTTTTTGTTTCATTTTCTCGATTTTTTGATTTTTCGTTTCTTTTTGTTTCATTTTCTCGATCTTTTGAATTTTCGACTTCTCTGGTTTTCAATTTTTTCGATTTTTAAACTTCTTTGGTTTCTCGATTTTTGGATTTATCGACATTCCGTTGTTTCCGTTTTTCAATTGGTCGACTTATCTGCTGTAATATTTCATTTTACGCCACAGATTTTTAGATATATATAGTTAATAAAAAAAAACGCAAAATCAAATTTGATAAGTAATTTTTTAAAGAAACGGGATATATTGGGCTGTACTTCAGGGGCGAGGAAAGTTCTTTCGAAATAACCTTCGACCAATTTTTTTATTATATGAAAGTGACTCTTGTTTTTTTTCCAGTTTGCAACTTCGTAGTGCATGATCGCTGCCTAAAAACTGTGGTGTCCCCGTGTTCCAGCATCGCCGCCAGCCTTATTAAGGTGAGTACCACCCCCATTTTCAGTACTCCGTCATTAACTATTCCTGCTTTCCAGAATCCGGTAGCCCACTGTTGGTCAGAACCGTTCCACCATAAACGAAAATTTTGTAATGTGTGTAGGAAAAGGTTAGATGATAGCGTCTCCATCCATTGTGAAAGTAAGTACTTTACTTGACACTACTAGATCCAGACTAAACTACACCATCTACTCTTTTCCAGTATGCGAGTACTACGTACACACCGAATGTCAGGATTTCGCTGTTGCCGATTGCAAGGAAAACGCTACATATCTTCCGGGAAAGCAACTGTCAAACGTACACCATCAACACCACTGGCGGGAAGGTAATCTTCCAAGCAACTCAAAGTGCGCACTCTGCAAGAAGACCTGCTGGACGACGGAATGCTTGTCGGGATACCGGTGCGAGTGGTGCGGTATGACCGTAAGTACCACCATATCAGTACCACCACGTAGACCCTCAACCACCCCCTTCCAGTGTCACGCCGCCTGCCACGTCAACATAACATCAGAATGTACTTTCGGGGTGCTGGAACCCATCTATCTGCCACCGCATGCCGTCAGCATTCCAAGAACCGAAGTACCCATGGAGGCCATCATCGGAGTTCAAGTTCGGCGCAAAGATACCATGTCTCGTGAGTATTCATGCCGTAAGTGTTGCTTTATTACTAACTAGGTGTTGTACCTTTGTTGGTAATCGTGCGACAACGGCCGGATTCTCACACCCGAATTCTGCTGGTGTCAAGGTTGTTGAGTTTGAGTGCAATCACGAGAAAAGGGTTTTATTTTTGGTACAGATATGGCATCCTGTTCTCTCGTGAGTTGGACAGTACTCTTTAAAATTTAAATATGGAACCGTCGAGGTTATGTTGGTCAAATAATAATAACCCTGCTTATAACTAGACATTCCAATGCAAGAAATAGATTGGCACTACTGCAATGACAGTTGATTGTCAGTTAGTACCAACCCTCGATGTTAATTTTGATTTTCTAATTTACCAGAACATTACAATAGGAAAAGAAGGTGATTCACGATAATGAACTCAACAGAACTGGAAACAGAATAAACATTAAACATCAAGCTTCTCTTATTTTATTTTCCAATTGATTGATTCTGCCAACCTCAAAAATTCATTACCTATGTAACTGGCACTATTGAAAATGTCCTTGAAAATAATAGCCAATAAAATGCTAGGTTATGTTATTAGTGGCTAAAGCACCACGTATACAGTTCCTGCCGGTTATATCTTCCAAGGTCATTGTATTCAGAAATATATCATTAAATTACCATAAAAACAGAGAAACTGAAAATACAAGAAATCGAAAAATCGAAAAATTTAAAATTAAAAACAAAAAATTGGCGATTAGTAAAATCGGGAAATTGAAAAAACGGAAATTTAAAATATACTCCTACAAAAATTGCAAAATCCAAGAATTCTAAAAAAACGAAAAGCTGAAAAATCCAAAAGGGGAATAATTGGAAAATCGAAAAACTGAAAAATTGAACAATGGGCATTTTGGAAAAATGAAAATGTAAAAGTCGAAAAATTGAAAAATTAAAAATAGAGAAACTGAAAAATTGTGTAGTTGGGAAATTGAAACATTGCAAAATTGTAAAACTGAAAATTCAAGAAATCGAAAAACTGAAAAAACGAAAATTTAAAATATCTAAAAATTGCAAAATCCCAAAGTTGCAAAACAAAAATGAATAAAGTGAAAAATCGAAAAATGGAATTTTCGAAAAACCGGAAAATGGAAAAATTAAAAATCGAAAAATCGAAGAATTTGAAAATTGAAAAAATGAAAACAAAACGTCTAATATTTGAAAAATTGCGAAATTAAAAAGTACAAAATAAAAATCAAAAAATTTAAGGATTATTGAAAAATTGGGAAATTTAAAATTGAGAAATTGCAAAATCGAAGAATTTAAAAATTGAAAAATTGGAAAACAAAACGTCTAATAATTACGAAATCAAAAATTACAAAATAAAAATCAAAAAATTTAAGGATTATTCAAAAACTGAGAAATTGCAAAATCGAAAAATTAAAAAAATCAAAAATCCAAAAATTGAATTTAAAATAAATAACAAAAAATTGGCGATTAGTAAAATCCAAAAGGGGAATAATTAGAAAATCGAAAAACTGAAAATTTGAAAAATGAAAAATTTAAAATCGGGAAACTAGAAAATCCAGTGATTGGAAATTAAAAAAATTACAAAATTATAAAACTGAAAACTAAAAATTGAAAAATCTAGGAATTGAAAAATCAAAGGTTTAAAAAAAAATGAAAGTGTTACATTGAAACATCGCAAAATTAAAAGATTCTAAAATTAAAAATTGAAAACTTGAAGAAGCGAAATACTGAAAAACAGAAACTAAAACTCGAAATATTGAAAGTGTCGAAATTTAAATTTAAGAAACAAAAATCGAAGAAGTGTAAAATCAAAAAATGGAATTATTGAAAAATCGACAAAATCGGAGAATTCAAAAAAGGAAAAATTTAAGAATTTAAAAATTAAAAAATCTAAAATTGCAACATTGTAGAATTAAAAAAATCGAAAAATTTAAAAGTTGAAAAAGTGAAAAAAAAAATTTCAAAATCGAAAAATTAAAAAAATCAAAAATCCAAAAATCGAATTTAAAATTAAAAACAAAAAATTGGCGATTAGTAAAATCGGGCAATTGAAAAAACGGAAATTTAGAATATCTATATAAAAATTGCAAAACCCAAGAATTGTAAAAAAAACGAAAAGCTGAAAAATCCAAAAATTTTGATAGTGAAAATTTGAAAAATTACAAATCGAAAAATTGCGAAATCAAAAATTACAAATTAAAGATCGAAAAACTAAAAAATCCGAAAGGGGAATAATTAGAAAATCGAAAAACTGAAAAATTGAAAAATGAAAAATTTTAAATCGGGAGACTGGAAAATCGAGTGACTGAAAATTCGAAAAATTACAAAATTGAAAAATCTAGAAATTGGAAAATCAAAAATTTAAAAACTGAAAAAGTGTTACATTGAAACATCACAAAATTGAAAGATGCCAAAGTTAAAAATTGAAAAATTGAAGAGGCGAAATATTGAAAAATACAGAAACTAAAACTCGAAATTTAAATTTAAGAAATAAAAATCGAAGAAATGAAAAATCGAAAAATTCAAAACCAAACATCTAATAATTGAAAAATTGCGAAATCAAAAACTACAAAATAAAAATCAAAAAATTGAAGGATTATTGAGAAATTTAAAATAGAGAAATTGCAAAATCTAAAAATCGAAAAATTTAAAATTAAAAACAAAAAATTGGCGACTAGTAAACTCGGGAAATTGAAAAAACGGAAATTTAAAATACATATACAAAAATTGCAAATCGGGAAACTGGAAAAACAAATGATTGAAAATTCGAAAAATTACAAAATTGCAAAACTGAAAACTCAAAAAATTGAAAAATCGAGGAACTGAAAAATCAAAAATTTAAAAGCTGAAAAAGCGTTACATTAAAACATCGCAAAATTAAAAGAGGCTGAAGTTAAAAATTGAAAATTGAAGAGGCGAAATATTGAAGAATACAGAAACTAAAACTCGAAATATTCAAAGTCGAAATTTAACTTTAAGAAACAAAAATCGAAGAAGTGAAAAATCGAAAAATGGAATTATTGAAAAATCGACAAGATCGAAAAATTCAAAAAAGGAAAAATTTCAGAATTTAAAAATTGAAAAATCGAAAAATTGCAACATTGTAGAATTATAAAAATCGAAAAACTGAAAAACGAAAAATGTAAAATATTTAAAAATTGTAAAATCGCAAAATTGCGAAACAAAAATGGAAAAACTGAAAAATCGAAAAATGGTATTATTGAAAAACTGGAAAATGGAAAAATTAAAAATCGAAAAATCGAAGAATTGAAAAATTGAAAAACAAAACGTCTAATGATTGAAAAATTACGAAATCAAAAACTACAAAATAAAAATCAAAAAATCAAAAATTGTAAATCGAAAAATGGAAAAATTTAAAATTAAAAACAAAAAATTGCCGATTAGTAAAATCGGGAGATTGAAAAAACGGAAATTTAAAATATATAAAAACTGGAAAATCCAAGAATTGTAAAAAAAACGAAAAGCTTAAAAATCCAAAATTTTAATATTGAAAATTTGAAAAATTACAAATCGAAAAATTGCGAAATCCGAAATTACAAATTAAAAATCGAAAAACTAAAAAATCCAAAAGGGGAATAATTAGAAAATCGAAAAAGTGAGAAATTGAAAAATGAAAAATTTAAAATCGGGAAACTGGAAAATCGAGTGATTGAAAATTCGAAAAATTACAAAGCTGTAGAACTGAAAACACTAAAAATTAAAATATCTAGGAATTGAAAAATCGACAACATCCAAACATTCAAAAAAGGAAAAATTTCAGAATTTAAAAATTGAAAAATCGAAAAATTTAAAATATTAAAAATTGTAAAATCTCAAAATTCCGAAACAAATATGGAAAAACTGAAAAATCTAAAAATGGAATTATTGAAAAACCGGAAAATCGAAAAATTGAAAAATTGAAAAACAAAACGTCTGATAAGTAATAACTGAAAAATTGCCAAATCAAAAACTACCAAAAAAAAAAATCAAAAAATTTAAGGATTATTGAAAAATTGGGAAATTTAAAATTGAGAAATTGCAAAATCGAAAAATTTTAAATTAAAACCAAAAAATTGGTGATTAGTAAAATCGGGAAATTGAAAAAACGGAAATTTAAAATATACAAAAATTGCAAAAGCCAAGAATTGTAAAAAAACTGAAAACTTCAAAATCCAAAACTTTTAATAGTCAAAATTTGAAATATTATAAATCAAAAAATTGTGAAATCAGAAATTACAAATTAAAAATCGAAAAACTGAAAAACTGAAAAATGAAAAATTTTAAATCGAGAACTAGAAAATCGAATGTTTGAAAATTCGAAAAATTACAAAATTGTAGAATTAAAACTCTAAAAATTGAGAAATCTAGGAATTGAAAAATCAAAAATTTAAAAATTGAAAAATTGAAGCGGCGAAATATTGAAAAATACAGAAACTAAAACTCGAAATATTGAAAATCGAAATTTAAATTTAAGACACAAAAATCGAAGAAGTGAAAAATGGAAAAATGGAATTATTGAAAAATCGACAACATCGAAAAATTCAAAAAAGGAAAAAGTTAAGAAATTAAAAATTGAAAAATCGAAAAATTTAAAAATAGAACAATTAAAGAATCAAAAAATTGGTCGAAAATTGTTTCGACAGAACTTCCCTCGCTCCTGAAGTACAATGTAACATATTCAGCATTTTTGAATTGAATTTTTACTTTACATAGTTTTGTAATGACGTCATTAAAAATCGACAAATTGAAATATCTAAAAATTGAAAAATGGGCATTTTGAAAAAATGAGAATGTAAAAGTCGAAAAACTGAAAAATTAAAAACAGAGAGACTGAAAAATTGTGTAACTGAGAAATTGATACATTCTAAAACTGAAAATACAAGAAATCGAAAAACTGAAAAAGGAAAATTTAAAATATTTAAAAATTGTAAAATGCCAAAATTGCGAAACAAAAATGGAAAAACTGAAAAACCGGAAAAATTAAAAATCAAAAAATCTAAGAATTTAAAAATTGAAAAATTGGAAAACAAAACGTCTAATAATTGAAAAATTGCGAAATCAAAAACTACAAAATAAAAAAAAAATTTAAGGATTATTGAAAAATTGAGAAATTGCAAAATCGAAAAATTTTAAAAATTAACAGTCCAAAAATCGCATTTAAAATTAAAAAGAAGAAATTTGGCGATTAGTAAAATCGGAAAATTGAACAAACGGACATTTAGAATATATAAAAATCGAAAAATTTTAAAATTGAAAAATTGAAAACCAAATCGTCTAAATAATAAGTAATAACTGAAAAATTGACAAATCAAAAACTACAAAATAAAAATCAATCAAAAAAATTTAAGGATTATTGAAAAATTGAGAAATTTAAAATTGAGAAATTGCAAAATCGAAAAGTTCAAAATTAAAAATATACAAAAATTGCAAAATCCAAGAATTGCAAAAAAACGAAAAGCTGAAAAATCCAAAAATTTTAATAGTGAAAATTTGAAAAATTACAAATCGAAAAATTGCGAAATCATAATTACAAATTAAAAGCCAGAAAACTAAAAAACCCAAAAGGGCAATAATTAGAAAATCGAAAAACTGGAAAATTGAAAAATGAAAAATTTAAAATCGGGAAACTGGAAAATCCAGTGATTGAAAATTTAAAAATTACAAAATTGTAAAACTAAAAACTCTAAAAGTTGAAAAATCTAGGAATTGAAAAATCAAAAATTTTAAAATTGAAACATCGCAAAATATACTAAAGTTAAAAATTGAAAAATTGAAGAGGAGAAATACTGAAAAACACGAAAAATAAAACTCGAAATATTGAAAGTCGAAATTTAAATTTAAGAAACAAAAATCGAAGAAGTGAAAAATCGAAAAATGGAATGATTGAACAATCGACAAAATCAATGGGAATATGGACAAAATGGGACAGTTAAACAATTAAAAAATTGGTCGAAAATTGTCATAAATTGCATGTGTAGGACTATGTTATTTTATACAATTTAAAACCCATTTACTATGTACAAATTTGAAGTGACGTCATCACATTATTGGTGGTTAGCGTTTTACCATCTACATGATATTCATAACACATACAAAATTTGATAACAATTCGTCCAGTAGTTTCGATCATTATCTGTCTAATTAAAATCCGGACACAGGGCGGACAAACAGACGGACAGACGGAAACGGGAAACCTATTTTTTCGCATTCTAGGAGTCATGAAAGATCGCTTACACTCGGAAAACAAAAATTAACAAAAATATATCTATAATTAAAATCAATTAACATACAAAATTCCTATAAATTATTACAATAGCACTGTGAATATTAAATGTAAACTAAATATAACATACCTGGGCACAATAAAACATAATTTTCTCCACATTTTAAATTTGGTGCCATGAAAGAAATTTTAAAAGATTCATTGTTGTCCACTTCAGCTAAGGAAGTATTGTAATCGAGTCCATCAGGCGACTCGCTACTCTCAAATTTTCTCGACGTTTCATGGCCCCTAAATTTCGAAAACATAGTTCTCTCGTTTCCCTCAGTCTGCAGATTAGAAATAACACACTTCTCATTCAAATTCAAACATTTTTTGGTAGAACATACTGATATCAGTATTTTCGGTTACAATACTAAACCTGCAACCAAGTGGACTCTAATATTGGTTCCAAATTGTGTTATTGGCTTTTTGAAATTCTAATTTTTGAAATTTTGAGAAATAGAATCAATCAATAAATCTGCGAATGTATTTTGGGTTGCGTCTTCACTTTTTTTAAACTCCTTATCACTCGTGAATCACCTGTATTTTCCCTACATGTAAACAATTAATTCTTTATGAATAAAAAATCTACGAAAACAAGCGCCAAGTGTCGTTATTAGTCAGCCTTTGTTGATTTTCTTTCGTTGCCTTAGCGACCATATCTTTAAGTGCTTTAACTTTGTTTTAATTTTTATTTTAAGATAACAAGGGAATGATTTTGCAGTCATCGGTGGCGATAGACGGACTGCTTTATCGAGTGTTCTGAAGCGTCTTTCTGTTGTTTTGCCATCCTCATGTCACGGCAAATGCCAGCCTTCGCTCCCTTATGTCCGAGGTATATTTGATTTGCGAAAGTACTTTTAGTTTGATGGATTTCTGCTTCTTATGCGCTTGTCCATAGAGCTTTTAGGACCGTTCCCTATTAAACGCGAAGACTAACGCACGAAAAGTCTAACAGTCGAAGCTGACTAATACTCTTATAGGTACCTATTTAAGTTCTTTGTGTGCGGGTGGCCTAAACCCTCGGGACTGATTAAGGACTTCTTTTAGCCCGGAGTATTTCGGAAGAGTTTAGCAGCGGAGATGCTGGACGCTACAGGGAATCGGAGGATTACGGCCAGGCTCACACACCAGGACGCGACAGCAGGCAGGACAAAACCAACAAGGACAAGGAGGATAGAGATGAAGGTAAGCAATCGCGCTAATTTAACAGTAAAATACTAAATGGAAGCATCCAGAGGTGATCAAAGTGTACGATGGAAATAATTCGCTGAGGAGAAGAATTTTCCGTACTATCGTGGTGTCCCGGCAGGCGCCACTCAAGCAAGTGCTAACGCAAGCTCTTCGGGCGTTTCATATCACGAAAGATCCGAGTTCATTCCATCTCACAGATCTCTATTCTCCCGACGAAGCGGTCCTACAAGATCCAACACCAGTAGTGACCCTCCACAGGAAAGAGGGCAAGAGGCCGGCTGTGTTCCTCCGATTCAAGTAAGTCCAGACGCTCCAGCGCGTTCCAGAGTCACACTATCGTTGTCTTAGGGATCGCGACAACGACAAAGGCGAAGTACGAGTCTATCCCGGCAAACTACAAGTGTCACAGGCACTCTGCACCGTGCCTGTGGACTCGAATACGACAGTGGGTGATCTCATTCGGGAGGCGCTGAAACGATTCGGGCTCGAGGACTACAACTGCGAGGACTACAGATGTAGCGAGGTTCTGCTGGACCGCGGAGGTAATGTTATAAAAATGATATTAATATAGATGTATCATACATCAAACTGCAGATTTTTTCATATTCTAGAGCGCAGAGACCAGCTCAATCAATTAAAAAAATATGGCTGAGAAATATCGTAAAAAAAGCAGCATTGTATGTTTTCTTTTCAAGTTTTTTTGAGTCATAACCATCATAGAATCGCTGGAAAATTCGCATATGGATAAAACATCACTTTTTACAGGGCGCAGAGTCATTAAATGTTTGTTAGTGGTACAATTTGTTTAAATAATAATGTGTTTATTAAAATCAAAATATACCATATTTTTTACGAATACTTTGTCTAAGACGAGCTTGTTTCATAGACGAACAATATTTTTTTGTTATTAAACCAGGGCCGTTTTAATCACAATATATTTACTTATCCCCTCTAAAAAATTCATGACGTCACCTCAAAATTTTGCTGAATAAATCCTGTCTAAAATGTACAAAATATGATGAGTCTCTTCTTGTAATTTATCATTCCATTCATATTTTTTGGAATCGGATATACAGGGTGACTCAAAAAATTTAATGAATGCGCAAATTTATTTTATTGATTTAATCAGGAACTACAAAACCGAATGCTTTGAAATCTAATGTGAAAAAAAAACATAATAGGCATGCAGTCGTCACGTTTCCGATAGCGAGGGAAGTACTGTCTAAACTCTTTAGACCGATTTTTTTGATTTTCCATTTCTTCATTTCCCAATTTTTCAATGTTTCAGTTTGGGATTTTGAGAAATTGAACAATCAAAAAATCAAAACATTGAATCCCAGTAAGTTGATAAATAGGAAAATTTAAAAAGCATAAATTTTAAAAATCCAAGAATTGAACAACAAAAAAAATCCAAGCCTGAAAACTCAGAAAATCGAATGATCGAGAACTCAAAACATCAAAGAAAACAAAAAATCTAAAATTTAAAAATTCGACAAATTGAAAAATCATGGAACAGAAAAATCGAAAAGTCGAGATAGTGAGAAATCTAAAAACCTAAAACTTTAAAAACTGACAAATTAAAATATCGAAAAATTTAAAAACCGAAAAAACACAATATCAAAAATTTGAAAAATTGAAGAAACAAAATATTGCAAAATTTCCAAGCTGAAACATTGAAAAACCTAAAATTGGAAGGAAAATTAAAGAATCGAAACATTGAAAAAATCCCAAATTGAAACATTGAAAAATTCAGAAATCGAAAAATTGAAAAATCACAATTGAAGGAAGAATTGAAAAATCGAGAAATAGAGAATTGGGAAAATAAAAAAATCAGTTGATCGAAAAATTGAGAAATCGAAAAATTTAGAAACGTCAAAAATTGAAAACTGGAAAATAAAAAAAATTAAAAATCGTAAAACTGAACCATCGCAAAATTGAGAAATCGAACAATGAAGAAATTCGAGAAATCGAAGAATCGATAAATTGAAAAATCCCAACAGTAATATATCGAAAAATTGAGAAATCGAAATCGAGCAAAACTGAAGCATCGTAAAGTTAATAAATTGAAAAACTGAAAATTTTTGAAAAAAAAAATCGCATCAAAAACTGAAAATTCAAAAAATCGGGAAATTGAACAATCAAAAAATCAAAACATTGAATCCCAGTAAGTTGATAAATAGGAAAATTTAAAAAACAAAAATTTTAAAAATCCAAGAATTCAACAACCAAAAAAATCCAAGCCTGAAAACTCAGAAAATCGAATGATCGAGAACTCAAAACATCAAAGAAAACAAAAAATCTAAAATTTAAAAATTCGACAAATTGAAAAATCATGGAACTGAAAAACCGAAAAGTCGAGATAGTGAGAAATTTAAAAGCCTAAAACTTTAAAAACTGAAAAATTAAAATTTCGAAAAATTTAAAAACCGAAAAAACACAATATCAAAAATTTGAAAAATTGAAGAAACGAAATATTGCAAAATTTCAAAGCTGAAACATTGAAAAACCTAAAATTGGAAGGAAAATTAAAGAATCGAAACATTGAAAAAATCCCAAATTGAAACATTGAAAAATTCAGAAATCGAAAAATTGAAAAATCACAATTGAAGGAAGAATTGAAAATTCGAGAAATAGAGAAATGGGAAAATAAAAAAATCAGTTAATCGAAAAATTGAGAAATCGAAAAATTTATAAACGTCAAAAATTGAAAACTGGAAAATAAAAAAAATTAAAAGTCGTAAAACTGAAACATCGGAAAATTGAGAAATCGAAAAATGAAGAAATTCGAGAAATCGAAGAATCGATAAATTGAAAAATCATACAGTAATATATCGAAAAATTGAGAAATCGAAATCGAGCAAAACTGAAGTATCGTAGAGTTAATAAATTGAAAAACTGAAAATTTTTGAAAAAAAAATCGCATCAAAAACTGAAAATTCAAAAAATCGAGAAATTGAACAATCAAAAAATCAAAACATTGAATCCCAGTAAGTTGATAAATAGGAAAATTTAAAAAACAAAAATTTAAAAAATCCAAGAATTCAACAACCAAAAAAATCCAAGCCTAAAAACTCAGAAAATCGAATGATCGAGAACTCAAAACATCAAAGAAAACAAAAAATCTAAAATTTAAAAATTCGACAAATTGAAAAATCATGGAACTGAAAAACGGAAAAGTCGAGATAGTGAGAAATCTAAAAACCTAAAACTTTAAAAATTGAAAAATTAAAATTTCGAAAAATTTAAAAACCGAAAAAACACAATATCAAAAATTTGAAAAATTGAAGAAACGAAATATTGCAAAATTTCCAAGCTGAAACATTGAAAAACCTAAAATTGGAAGGAAAATTAAAGAATCGAAACATTGAAAAAATCCCAAATTGAAACATTGAAAAATTCAGAAATCGAAAAATTGAAAAATCACAATTCAAGGAAGAATTGAAAAATCTAGAAATAGAGAATTGGGAAAATAAAAAAATCAGTTGATCGAAAAATTGAGAAATCGAAAAATTTAGAAACGTCAAAAATTGAAAACTGGAAAATAAAAAAAATTAAAAATCGTAAAACTGAAACATCGGAAAATTGAGAAATCGAAAAATGAAGAAATTCGAGAAACCGAAAATATGAAGAATCGAGAAATCGAAGAATCGATAAATTGAAAATCCCAACAGTAATATATCGAAAAATTGAGAAATCGAAATCGAGCAAAACTGAAGCATCGTAAAGTTAATAAATTGAAAAACTGAAAATTTTTGAAAAAAAAAATCGCATCAAAAACTGAAAATTCAAAAAATCGAGAAATTGAACAATCAAAAAATCAAAACATTGAATCCCAGTAAGTTGATAAATAGGAAAATTTAAAAAACAAAAATTTTAAAAATCCAGGAATTGAACAACAAAAAAAATCCAAGCCTAAAAACTCAGAAAATCGAATGATCGAGAACTCAAAACATCAAAGAAAACAAAAAATCTAAAATTTAAAAATTCGACAAATTGAAAAATCATGGAACTGAAAAACCGAAAAGTCGAGATAGTGAGAAATCTAAAAACCTAAAACTTTAAAAACTGGCAAATTAAAATATCGAAAAATTTAAAAACCGAAAAAACACAATATCAAAAATTTGAAAAATTGAAGAAACGAAATATTGCAAAATTTCCAAGCTGAAACATTGAAAAACCTAAAATTGGAAGGAAAATTAAAGAATCGAAACATTGAAAAAATCCCAAATTGAAACATTGAAAAATTCAGAAATCGAAAAATTGAAAAATCACAATTGAAGGAAGAATTGAAAAATCGAGAAATAGAGAATTGGGAAAATAAAAAAATCAGTTGATCGAAAAATTGAGAAATCGAAAAATTTAGAAACGTCAAAAATTGAAAACTGGAAAATAAAAAAAATTAAAAATCGTAAAACTGAAACATCGGAAAATTGAGAAATCGAAAAATGAAGAAATTCGAGAAACCGAAAATATGAAGAATCGAGAAATCGAAGAATCGATAAATTGAAAATCCCAACAGTAATATATCGAAAAATTGAGAAATCGAAATCGAGCAAAACTGAAGCATTGTAAAGTTAATAAATTGAAAAACTGAAAATTTTTGAAAAAAAAAATCGCATCAAAAACTGAAAATTCAAAAAATCGAGAAATTAAACAATCAAAAAATCAAAACATTGAATCCCAGTAAGTTGATAAATAGGAAAATTTAAAAAACAAATATTTTAAAAATCCAAGAATTCAACAACCAAAAAAATCCAAGCCTGAAAACTCAGAAAATCGAATGATCGAGAACTCAAAACATCAAAGAAAACAAAAAATCTAAAATTTAAAAATTCGACAAATTGAAAAATCATGGAACTGAAAAACCGAAAAGTCGAGATAGTGAGAAATCAAAAAACCTAAAACTTTAAAAACTGACAAATTAAAATTTCGAAAAATTTAAAAACCGAGAAAACACAATATCAAAAATTTGAAAAATTGAAGAAACGAAATATTGCAAAATTTCAAAGCTGAAACATTAAAAAACCTAAAATTGAAAGAAAAATTAAAGAATCGAAACTGTGAAAAAATCCCAAACTGAAACATTGAAAAATTCAGAAATCGAAAAATTGAAAAGTCACAATTGAAGGAAGAATTGAAAAATCGAGAAATAGAGAATTGGGAAAATAAAAAAATCAGTTGATCGAAAAATTGAGAAATCGAAAAATTTAGAAACGTCAAAAATTGAAAACTGGAAAATAAAAAAAATTAAAAATCGTAAAACTGAAACATCGGAAAATTGAGAAATCGAAAAATGAAGAAATTCGAGAAACCGAAAATATGAAGAATCGAGAAATCGAAGAATCGATAAATTGAAAATCCCAACAGTAATATATCGAAAAATTGAGAAATCGAAATCGAGCAAAACTGAAGCATCGTAAAGTTAATAAATTGAAAAACTGAAAATTTTTGAAAAAAAAAATCGCATCAAAAACTGAAAATTCAAAAAATCGAGAAATTGAACAATCAAAAAATCAAAACATTGAATCCCAGCAAGTTGATA